TCAACAGGAGTCAATGGACTGTGGTTGAATTCAGCCCATTTCTTCATTGCTGCCTTTCTCCCTCTTCCACTCACCAGTAGACTATTGTGGTTGTCAGTAAGCTTACATGCCTATTCATGTGTTCCCTTTGAGTCTCAGTTTTAGAGGGGAGTTTGTCCTGAAGGAACTTGATTGCTTGCCTTGATGGCTTCCTGACGAACAGCTTGCTTATTCTTGTAGTACCTTACTGACATTTTTGTTATGGGTTTTCCTGATGATCTTTCTTTGAAGATGTATCTTCTGTTGCCCTAGCTGTTCCAGGCTGGTCTGCTTGTCCTTGCTAGTGGGAATGTCCCACCTCAGAAGGTTCTGGATGGGACTCAGGATTCCACCTAAGGTCCTATACTCTGCAAAGGGTTTGCCAGAGGCCTATTTCACTGTTCAAGTTCTAGAACCCCTTTTAGGTATTCCAATCAGTCATAGGCTGAAGACGGGTTTACAAGTTTTCTGTAATTATGTTTCCCCACATTCCTTTCTATACCACTCAATTGTCTATTTTACAATAGTAGGCAAGAGAAACCAATATTCATAAGACAGTCAAGCATTTTAGTATTATTTTCCCTCTTCAAGCTATGCCAAGATCACCATATCACAGAGCCCTGTTGTTCCAAGGTTGAACATGCATCACTATTTACCTCTGTCCCACTTAGGCCATGCCAACCTGTCTCAGTGTTTCCCTGTCTATCTTGTTCTTCTGCCTCCTCCCCCTTCTTATATTGCCCTCCCCAACACACCCAAAGTAAGCCTCCCATCCCAACCCCACTGTTCTGATTAGTTTATATTCCATTTACTCTTCCCTCCATTTAAGACAATCTGTTTTATCTTGTAATCCACCTGGATCTCTGTTCCTCTGTGTTTACCTTCTTTCACATTGTAATTGTTTTGATCATAGACTGACCTCCCAGATCCTCTGTTCTTATAATTTTATTCTGTTCTTGACTCCATTTGTCAACTGAGTTCAGGTTGATGCTGCCAGTTACATCATTCTCTGGTTGTTGTCTGGTTTTCTTGGTTCTCAGTCCACAGAACTTCCTTTAGGATGTTTCTCATAGCAGGGTTGGCTTTGGCAAAATCCCTTAGCTTCTGTTTATCCTGGAATGTTTTGATTACACCATCATATTTGATTGACAGCTTTGCTGGATAGAGGATTCTTGGGTGGGAGTTTTTTTTCTTTCAGAGTTTTATATATGTCTCCCCATTGCCTTCTTGCCTGCATGGTTTCTGTTGAGAAATCCGAGCTTAATCTGATTTGCTTGCCTTTGTATATTACACTTCTCTTTTCTCTAGCTGCTTTCCAGATTCTCTCCTTATCTTTGATTTTGGAGAGCTTGATATGTCTTAGTGATTGTCTTTTGGGATCTATCCTATCTGGGATTCGTTGAGCTTTTTGAATGCTTATCTTTTCTCTTTTCAGGATGTTAGGGAAATTTTCTTCCAGAAGTTCTTCAACTATCTTGTCTGTGGACTTGTGTGATTCTTCCTGGTCTGGAATGCCGATAATTCTTAAGTTATTCCTCTTCATGTTGCCCAACATGAATCTTAGGCCTTCTTTAGATTTTTTTATCCTTGCTCTTCTATCTTAGTAGTGTTGAGAGATTTATCTTCTCTCTCACTAGTTCTGGTTTCTATCTCTTCAAGTCTACTCTTTTGCCCTTTCAGTATATTGTCCATTTCTGATATTCTATTATTAATCATTTGGACCTCTTTCTGTAGATTTTGAATTGTTTCCAATGCTGTATCTATCTTTTTTTTTTTAATGTTTAATTCTGAATTATATGATAGTTTACATGCGAGAACTCTAGTTTTACATTCATTCCATAGTATATCATCTCATTGCCATGGTTCCAATCCCCTCCATGCATCATCCACCAACCAAAGGGTATATCCTAGATACCCGCCCCCTCCACTTCCCCCTCCACCCCCCCAATTCCATTTTTGATGAATTTTTTGAAGCACCTCATATTGTGGTCGTATACTTTTTTGTAAAAATCTAACCATATACATATTATTGTTGTTAAGTGTCATCGAGTATTTCTGACAGATAGCGACCCCGCATAGGGTTTCTGAGGAGCAGCTAGTGAGCTTGAACTACCGACCTTGTGTTTCAAACTAACTTTGCAGTCCAGTGCATTAACCCACAGGATATATGCTTAAATATTTTGGAATAAAATTATACCTGGGATTAGCTTCAAATTCTGGGGAGAATGGTAGAGTTATTGGAAAAAATTATAGCTACGAGTTGGTAATTGTTGAAGCTGAGTGATAGTTATATGGGAATTTATCAGACTTCCCTCCCTCAGTATATGATAGAGAATTTTTCATTAAAAATGTAAAAAGGAAAAAATATAATAAGATTCTTGTTTGTACCTAACAGAACAGTATCACATTTAATATCTGATTATTCTAAGTGTTGTCAAGAACATGAAAAAGCAAGAACTTTTTACGCAAATGATATGAACATAAATTGGCACAACCAATTTGGAAGAAAAGGTGACATATTCAGCAAAATTGAAGATGTAGTGTGTTTACTACCCAGCTGCCCCCTTATTGTTGTTATTGCTAGGTGTCATCCAGTCGGTTCTGACTCATAGCAACACAGTGCACAACAGAACTGAACACTGCTCAGTCCTGAGCCAACCTCAACAACCGTTGCTACGCTTAAGCTGTCTCACATCTAGACTAAATCCTAGATACGCTCTTACTCATAGAAACGTACAAAAGTGTTCATAAACACATTCTTTTTAAAGACACAAATCTGGAAACTGAAATGTCCCTTTGTAGAAGAACATCTGACTAAATGGTAGTATATTTATGTAACAGAATGAAAGTGAATTAACTGGTACCCACATCAACATTGATAAATGTCAAACATATGGTGGGGAAAAAAGGAATTTGCAGAATATAAAAACAATACTATTTATATAAAGTATAAAATAAACTACATAAGGCTAAACTATGTATTTTAGGGATGCATGTATAATGTAGTGGAGTCCTGGTGTGGTGCTGGGGGTTAATGTACTAGACTGCAAAGTCGGTTTGAAGTGTAAGGTCAACAGTTCAAGCTCACCAGCTGCTCCTTGGAGACACTAGACAAGGTCACTATGGGTCAGAACCGACTCGAAGGCACTTAACAATAACATATATGTAATAAAATAACAGAAAAGCTTCAGTTCAGTATTCAAAATATCAGTGATTTCTGGTCAGGGAAGGAGGGAGAATATACGGGCACAAAGGGAGCACTGAGGATTGTAAGATTTTATTGCTTAAGCTGGATGGTAGGTATAAGAGTGTGCGTTATATTTTTTAGTTCTTGCACAAAAGTACACAATGGGGGAATAATGACATTCATTTCAACAACAAACGTATTGAAACCAGCTGAATAAAACCTTGCCTGTCCTATATAATAAAAGAGGCAGTCCCTAGGTTACTAAGTCCGACTCTGACAACTTTTCCTTGTCCTTTAATGTTATGTAAATTTGCATAAGGACCCTGTATAGGGTTTCTGTGGAGCACCTGGTGGGTTTGAACTGCAGGCCTACAGCACCACACCAGGAACCAACCACTACTCACTACAAATTCTTCATCTCAGTTGCCTTCATTTGCTGCACATGCAGCTTTTCAATCACTGAAAAGGCTTTGAGCCTTGCACAAAAGTAAGGCTAGGTAAGAACCACATGCACCTCATGCAGAGTTACCTACAGATTAAAGACAGACGCAGGAAAGGGCCTCATTCGTAATCTAGGAGACGGCTTGTACACAATCATCTGCCAGAAGGAAAAATGCTGATTCTTCCAAAGGTAGACACTACTGTGAAAGCATCTATTCTAGCCAAACCCTTGATGAGGCTCCCATTTTATCAAAGCATCAGTGGCTTTTGTGAGGGTGGTGGTGTAAAGTATAGGAGTCCTGGTGTGGCGCTGTGGGCTAATGCGTCAGACTGCAAAGTCGTTTGAACTGCAAGGTCGGTGGTTCAAGCTCACCAGCTGCTCCTTGGAAACCCTATACAGGGTTGCTACGGGTCGGAATTGACTTGCCGGCACTTAACAACAACAACAAAGTTAAAATGGAGTTCTGGTATGGTTCTGTAGGAGCAGCCCTGGACAGTGACCCACAGGTCAGCAGTTCAAACCCACCAGCTGTTCCTGGGAAACCCTACACAGGGGTACTATGAGTAGGAATTGACTCAATGGCATAACAATAACAAAGTTATATTTTGCCTATATTTAAATTTTTAAAAAGAATTTTCTTGTTTTTACTAGTGAAAGCTCTGTACCCTGGTTTTACTTTTTCTTCACCCCACTTGCTCTTTCCTGTACATTCAGAATGGCTTCTAGGTTTGAATCTTTAATGACAGTCATACAATAAAAATGAAGTATATTACAATGTTGAATACATCTTTTAAGTAACTTCCTAAATGAATGAATGGGATTCACCTGAGAAAGAGGACAGCTGTGTCATGAGTGTGAAGGACTTAATACCTGTTGCTTTCATCTGAAATCTGTCCCAGGGTCTCCCAGGCAACAGGGGGAACCATCCTTTTTGAGTTACCTCTTTAGGACCAGTGTTTAACTCCAGGGGTTAAATATGGACGAGACTTTGGGTCCAGTTAGGCAGGACACAAACACATCTGGTGGCTGTATCAGTACCACCTCCCAGCACCTTCACGCTATAGCTTTTCCATGACCTGCTTGGGGAGGCCCTGACTTCTTTACGGCCTTTCTGAGGGAGTCCCCAACTTTACCATGGCTTTTGTGGGTGCCCACAGTGCTATGAGTCAGAACTGACTCAACGGCACAAAACAACAATAACAACAGTGATAGAAAGACACCTGATGGGCAGTCTGGTCCCATTGTCACATATAAAGTGCTGCAGCTTCTGGCTCCTTCCACGTCTTCTGCTGGAACTTGACGCCCTGGATAGGCTTTGTTCCAACTTTCTGGATCCCAGTGACATAAGAATTGTCAACTGACTGTTTGCAGATCTGAAAGAAACCAGACAATCACAGGACTTGTCACCCTCCCCAGACCCCAGCATCTCTCTTTCCTTTCAACAAGTCTCTGCTTCTTCCTTCCATGTTTTAAATCTCTTTTGTTACTTCCAAACCCACTAGGCATACACTTAATGTATGCAAATTTTTTCCTTTTCTTTTGGCTTTCCTAAACCAATGTCCTTCCTGACATCTTCCCAGCTCTTGGTTGATATCTCCCACCTACTCTTAGTGAGAGAAACCTAGTATTATTAAGAGTACACAATATGGGAGTGCAGTGGCTCTGTAGGATAAGCACTGTGAACCACAACGGTCAGTGGTTTGAGCCTAGCAGCCATTCTGTGGAAGAAAGATAAAACTTTCTGCTCCTGCACATATTTATAGTCTCAGAAACTATATAGGATTGCTATGAGTTGGAACTGATTTGATGGCACGTAACAACAATAATAATAGGTAATATGTACCAGTTCCTGTGTACCAGTTCACAGTGACCCCATGCATGTCAGAATAGAACTGTATTTCATAAGGTTTTCAGGGACTGACCTTTCAGAAGCAGATTGCCAGGTTTTTCTTCCAAGACACCTGTGAGTGGGTTTTAACCATCAACCTTCCAGTTAGGAGTTGAGCTCTTACACATTTGCACCACCCAGGGACTTCACGATAATATATAATAATTGTTGTTGTGGATAAGTGCCATAAAGTTGATTCTGACTTATAGCAACCCTGTATAGGGTTTCCGATGCTGTAAATCTTTACAGGAGCAAAAAGCCTCATCTTTTTCCTGCAGAGTGACTGACTAGTGGGCTTAAACTGCAGACCTTGTGATTAGCAAGGTTTATACAACAGCACCACCAGCACTCCATATATGTAACAGTAGCTAAGCTCTATTAAAGGTTTGATATATGCCAGGCCATGTCCTGAACATTTACTTAGTACATGTATTTATTTGTGGTATATGCTATTACTCTCATGTTACAAATGAGAAAATTACTGGGCCCAGTAATTCCTCACAAGTTACTAAGTGAAGGAGCCAGGATATAAACCTAGGCAGTCTTCTCCTGAGCCTACACATAGTTCCTCAGCCACAGTGACTGTTTACTAACAGCTAAAGTGCATTACATGCTGTGACTGACCCCTTCATTTTTCCCTTCCTCTTAGAGCTTACAACGTATGACAGCTTCCTTGACTTGGTGAAAGCCGCCATCAGGACCCCTGCCATCCACGTAGTACATGAAGCAGAGCTCGGAAGGGTAAGAGGCTCTGGTCAGGCCTGAGAGAAGCGGGATGGTACAGCCCTCTGACGCAGGGGCCTGGGTTAGGGCCTGCAGCATCTGGTACTTGCACCACGGATCCTGGAGGAAGCCTGGAGTGATGAGCAGTACATGGCAGTGACTATTGCTCAGAGCCTGGCACAGCTCTGACACGATGGCGCCACCTGGGGTTGCGTCCCGAAGTTGCAGGAAGCAGCGCAGGCTGGCATTGCTGTTCTCCAGGTAGGACACCAGTTCCTGGGCTGCTACTAGGTCCTCTTCACTGTGGCACACACAGACGTCATAGTCTTTGCTCCAGCGGCCACTGCTGCTGCTGTCACCCATGGGTGTTGGGGTTATGGGAGACTTGACTGAGCTGAGGCTCAGGGGTGGGGAGCTGTCCTGTGAGGTTGGCTGTGAAACATCACTGGAGGCACTTTCTGGAGAGATGGGCAGCTTCATAGGCTTCTTCAGCAGAGCCTGCCTGAACCAGTCTGTGGGAGAAATGCATAGTGACTTAACTGGCAGTACAGAGCCCCAGCTAGGGCCTGGGCTCCTGAACCATGGGAAACAGCCTTATTCTCAGAGACCTATTGCTAATCTACCTTTGTGTATTCTTCTGGGCTTGTCTAAAAGTTCCCTCTATCGTTAAAGGTTCCAGTAATACATGAGAACTTTGAAATCCTTACATGAGAGTGTCTTAGCAGCCTGACTGAGAAAGATGGCCTTACCAGGCTTTTGCTTTCTAGAGCCCCCGGCCTTCTTTAACTAGAGTTTCCCAGTAGTCTGACTATTCACCCATCTATGAGTTCTATGAGTAGACTATGTTATGCTAGTAAGAATCAATTGGTCCTAAAGCCTACATTACGATGGATTATCCATTATGGAAGGCAAGAAGGGGCACTGATATCTTTTTGGTACTGAGAAATCCTAGGTGGCTGCTAAATGGGTAAAATGAAAGCAAGAAAGAAAGTTACGTTCAGAGCTCCTGAAAAGCATCAAGCTTAGTGATTCAGAAGCTACACTGGAGTCAGACACACAGATGTTACTGTGAATCTACTACTTGCTTTCTGTAGGACTTAAGCAAGTTAGTCCTTGTCTTCATTTCTTCATCCATAAAATGGATTCATTTTAGTTGTCATTAAACATTAACTGAGATAATGCAGTGTCTGCTATATTGGAACCTCAAAAAAGAAAAGAAGAAAGAAATCCCACTGCCACTGAGTCACTTCTAACTCATAGTGATCCTACCTAAGATTTCTGAGGCTGTAAATGTTTGTGGGAGCAGACACTTGTTTTTCTCCCATGGAGCTGCTGGTGGGTTTAACTCACAGTGCCACCTGGGCTCCTTGCAAGCACTTCATAATGATATTAATTCAGCGTCTCCAGATTTTGATAGGGACAGATCATTTGATATTCTGGACACTGAGTAGTTCTTGCTCTCTCTCTGTCTGGCTCCTTCCTTTGAATGGTTCTAGAACAAAGATTTCGATAACAAGAACACAATGGTTGCCACAATGGTTTCCAGGTTAAGAGGATTGGCTGCACAGGCCTGGAAAATTCGGGAGCCAAGAAGGTCAAAGAGTTCAGTGCCTCCCCTCTTCACCCTCCCCAACACATCTGGACTCTGAAGTCAAATAAAGGGCATCACCCCCATCATCTGCCTCCTCGCATTTCTCTTGTGTATGGACCAGGCAGGCCTCCTGCCTCACCAATATGGACACCAAGGACTACACTCACAGGAACAAGAGCAGAAGTAGGAATCTGGTTCTACTCACCAACCATCTTGTCCATAGGCTTCTTGGCCCGAGAGCGAGGAGTTGCCAGGGAAGTTGGTGATGCCATAGTGTTGGATCCAAAACTAACCCCATGAAACCAGGCATTGGTAAAGCAGAAGGGAGCAGACCCAGTCTTAACCTCATGGAGCTGCCATCCTATAAGGAACATAGAGAGAGAGAGAATCATAAGACCTGTTCCTACTTGACTCTCAGGTCTAGTAGTAGGCGCCTAGAGTTCTATTTCTAGAACTCCTATAGCTTGACAGGGGTTTGGTCTCTGAATGAGCCCCTCATGAGAACAGACCCAGACACTACTGTGACTGGAGCTGATTTCTAGATAAACTCACACCTGTGGAGTGGTCAGACCTACAATTTAGCAAGACACAGCAGAGTGACTGTTCTCTGTTCCACCTGGCCAGGAGTGCATTCTAGGCCTGGGGAAGAGCAACTGGCAGGCAAGTCCTTACAGGGACTTCCTGTGTAAATGCCAAAATGGAAGAACAGTTGTTATTTGGACAAATAATTATGCATCCAGCTAGACAAATACTTGGAAGACTCTTCTCCAAGTCTGTCTTCCCTGGAATACACCATCTATCCATCTCTTCCTCAGCTGTCAGCTCAGGGAGGTAGTATGGAGTGGGAAAACTGCACACCTTGAAGTCAGAATGCTTGGACTCTTACTTCATGTTCATCATCTTCATCTTACTAAGTTTTAGCTTCTCCATCTGTAAAATAGAGATAATACTGCATCTCAGCATTATTGTGAAGATTGCATGAAAAACTCCTTGAACAACTGCTTCGTTTACCATGAGACCAGAAGTGGCTGGTACTTGGTACCACTACTGAATATTTTGATCAAAGATTCTACAGAAGGATCCTGATCAAAAGAGGGGAAAACAGAACAGAATTTTAAATTCTCATAGAATTCAGATTTTCTGGATTCATGGAGTTTAGAAGAACCCTTAAAACTACTGCCCTTTAGGAGCTGATGAAATGAAATACAGATGGGTAACTCGTGATACTGTAGTGAATAATGCTTATCAGGACGGATTATGAGGGTTGGAAATGCAAAGGTAGACGTTTTGTAACAAGGAAGGGAGTGATTAATTCTCCAGTCTAGGAGCAGAGGTCTCTGGGACCATCAACGGAGAAGAGCCGAGAGCGGGACCCTACCCAGAGAAGCAGAGATGCCTGAGATAGAGACAGAGACGATGAAGCGTCTGGGGACTTTGGATCCAGAGAGGGAAAGGGACTGTGGGCCAAAGACTGGTGGGGGGGGGGTGGGGAGTGTAGGGGGTGGGTCTCTAGGATATAACCTTTGGTTGGTTGATGATGCATGGAGGGGACTGGAACCATGGCAATGAAATGATATACGATGGAATGAACGTAAAACTAAAGTTCTCTCTCATGTAAACTATCATATAATTCACAATAAAACATTAAAAAAAAAAAAAAGGGTTCTAGACCTTGCCCAGTGAAATAGGCTTCTTGCAGAGCCTTTGTAGTATATAGGACTTTAGGTGGAATCCTGAGCCCCATCCAGAACCTTCTGAGGTGGGACATTTCCACTTGAAAGGACAAGCTGACTAGCCTGGAATACATAGCAGAACAGAAGATACTTCTTGAAAGAAAGACCAGCAAGAAAAAAATCAAAACAAAAATGGCAGTCCAATTGACTACTACAATAACAAGCAAATTTGCTGGGAAGTCATAAAGGCAAGCAATCAAGTCCATTCAGTACAAATCCCCGTCTAAGACTGAAACTCAAAGGGAACACATGAGCAGGCATGTAAGCTTGCTGGTGACCACATTGGTCTACTGTTGAGTGGAAGAGGAGGAAAGGCAGCTATGAAGAATTGGGCTGAGTTCAACCATATTCCACAGACTCCTGTTGACCTTGAGATCAGAGAGCGAAGAGGAGGGGCCAGTTGGTCCAAAGTGTGGTGAGACCTGGGGACACCTGAGCCCATGGACAAGGACATAGCCAGACAGGGCTAGAGCTGAGAGTGAAGCATCCAGCTCACATGAAGTGAGGGGTTACGCACAAAAATGCACAAACTTTCAGATAGTACCCATTTGACCTAGCATCTATGGCTTGATGATCAGAACTCGACTAGAGGACAATAAAAAAAAAAAAAAAATTGATAAAGGAAACAAGTGTAAATTACTACAATTTGAGGGACTTGACCTACACTTATTAATGTAGTAGCTCAAAACCAACTGAGAGGGAAGGAGTCTTCACATTATGGATCAACCCTATCTCCTCTGTACACAGTGTTGATAGGAATGGACAACTTAGACATTGGCTACCTAAAATGGGGTGCTATTGAATGATGATTCACAGAGGAGATTGTAATCATTGCAGTGAAATAGAGTGCAAAACCGATGTTTCCCAATGTAAACTAAACACTCAATTCACAATGAAAACTTAAAAAAAAAAAAAAAGATATCATGTAAAATAAAAATAATAATACAGAGAAAAAAAAAACAAAAAACTACTGCCCTTTAGGAGTGATGAACTCTCCAGTCTAGGAGCGGGAGGTCTCTAGGACCATCAACGGAGAAGAGCCGAGAGCGGGACCATACCCAGAGAAGCAGCGAGGCCCTAGATAGAGGCAGAGATGATGACGTGGAGTGATGAAGTGGCTGGGGACTTTGGATCCAGAGAGGGAGAGGGACTGTGTGCTGAAGAATGGGGAGGGGGGCGGGGAGCGTAAGGGGCGGGTTTATAGGGTATACCCTTTGGTCAGTTGATGATGCACAGAGGGAATTGGAACCATGGCAATGAAACGATATACGGTGGAATTAATGTAAAACTAAAGTTCTCGCATGTAAAATATCATATAATTCACAATAAAACATGAAAAAACAAGCAAACAAACAAAACTACTGCCCTTTAAACCTTAAACCAAAAATATCCCTTGAAGTCTTCTTAAAATCAAACAATAGCTTAACTAGAAAAGAATGTCTGCCATGAACATTATGCTCTTCTATGATCTCTGTATGTGGGATTAAATTGATAACAGCAATTGAAAAGTTTAGGTGAGACCCTTAGAGATCAATGAATTTATGGTAATGGAGAGGAACACCTCAGAACATGAGAGTGAGAATGGTTGCACTTGAAGATTGTAATTAATGTCATTGGATTGTACATGTAGAAACATAAATTGGTGTGTTTTTGCTGTGTGTATCCTTAACAAGAACAAAAAATTACATAAGAAAAAAAGATTTCATGAAGTAATCTACATAAAGTGCTAATGGGGCCTAGCATATAATATACGCTCAGAAAATGCTGCAGGTTAGTATATATTTTAAATGATACAGATAATGTGTTCAAGGATTGTTCCTGTTTTTATTAAGTGCCATCGAGTCAGTTCAAACTCATAGCAACCTTGTATGTTGTTTCCAAGAAGCAGTTGGTGGGTCTGAACTACCAACCTTGCAATTAGCAGTCCAGTGCTTATCCTACAGCACCATACCAGGACCCCATTCAATATTGTAAAGTCATTTTTCAACAAATTTATCTGTAGATCATTGCAATCCCAAATACCAAAAGTATTTTTGGTAGTGGTAGTGGGATTGTCAAACTACTTCTACATTTTTATGGAAATGCAAGAGACAAAGAATACCTTAAATTAGCTTGGGGTCAAACGTCTTAAGAATTAGTGTGCAACTTGGCATCCTTTCTCCCCAACACAATGACAGATGTTTCTGGTGGCGGTGGCTTTCAGACTCAGTTCCTGGGAGGAGACTGTATGGAGCAGAGCCTGCCCCTGATTCAAGATGAAGCTGTAGAATTCAATAACACTTCTCTCCAGGTGAAGGGCTGCTAGAGAGCTTCACTGTAGAGGGCAAAGCTGGACCAGCTAGATCTACAGAAAACGAAACAAACCCCTGACAGCTCACACCTCGTAACATTAGTAAACACACTAAAATAAGATGTTTCCAATTTTAAAGAATGCCGTTCTCTGTTGGACAGTGAAGATCAAAGAGCACAGCCTTCAGTATCGATTGCATCTCAATGTAAAGAAAACAAAAATCCTCACTGCTGGACCAATAAACAACATTCTTATCGATGGAGCAAAGATTGAAGTTGTCAAGGACTTCATTCTTCTCGGATCAACTATCAACACTCATGGAAGCAGCAGTCAAGAAATTGGACAATGCATTGCATTAGGCAAATCTGCTGCACAAGACCTTTAAAAGTGTTGAAGAACAAAGATGTCAGCTTGAGGACTAAGGTGCATCTGACCCAAGCCATGGTATTTTCAATAACCTCATATGCATGTGAAAGCTGGACAGTGAATAAGGAAGACCAAAGAAGAATTGATGTTTTTCAGTTACGGTGCTGGAGGAGAATATTGAAAGTATCATGGGCTGCCAAAAGAACATACAGATCTGTGCTGGAAGAAGTGCAGCCAGAGTGCTCCTTGGAGGTCAGGATGGCCAAACTCTTTTCCTGCTCAGGGGTCACTGTCTTCATTTCAATCATTTCAAGATACCCTTTCTCCCATTAGTGAGCATATATTATTGAAAATTTTTTTCAAATTTGTTTTAATTTTAAATTTTATTATTTTTACTTTGAAACCTTTATAATTTAGAGAACCACGTAATTTTTTATAATAGTCTAATGGTTAAAAATTAGTATAGTATTTAGTCTACTTGATTTCGATTTAGAAGTTTCCTTTTCTTGTTTCATGAAATGATGCCTTTTTGACAATACAATGCTGATTTTTGGTAGCAGTCCTTTTCATTGTTTGGTAAGAAGAAATCCAGTTGTCCCATAGCATGTCATTAGAAGTGGTGGAATAAGAATCAGGGGAAAACTTAAACATAGGACATGATAGCATCTTTGATGTGAAATGATATAGCAAGATGGCAGAAAAATTTTATTGGCCACATACACTCTCTACTTCGAACTAGGGTCACACATACAAATATGCTTTACTATTTATGAGACGTAGTAGTCCCCATTGCCATTGAGTCAATTCCAACTCATAGTGACCCTATGTCGTTGTTGTGAAGTGCTGTTAAGTCAGGTCCATCTCATAGTGTCCCTGTATAGGG